AGCTGTCACCTTTTGGATTTTGCATTAATATCTGGTGTTCACCCCCCTCCTGGCACATTAAAGTAAAATATTAATTTGAGTCCCCAACATTTAAAATTGCTAAACCCTGAAGATACAGAGATTAGAAATGAAAGGGAAGTGAACAAAGTGCTGAATACTGTTGTTTTTCCATTTACACAGATTTTCTATCACAGAGAATCTTCTCTCCATGTTAATCAGAGTCAAACTCTTAAGTAGAGGAACTCATCGTGATTCAGCATATTCAAGGATTTATACCCATTTTTAGAGAGACAACCAGAGGAAATAGTGCCTCAGGTCTAAACAATGATATCTCCTTGCCCTTTGATCTTAGATTAAGAACACACTGTACAGCTTTTTTAACTGTAATACTACTGAACTTTACATTTACTATTTGGAATCTTATTTTAAGAAAACATCTATCTACCTGCTTCTTTGAATCACACTCTTTCAAACAGATTCTCCAAACTGTTTCCTATAGCCTGCAGGCATGGTCTTCTTATTTTTGCTAACAAAATTCTTAATAAATATTACCCCCCCCCCAAAAAATCAAACTCTTTGCCTTCAATGGAAGTTATTCATAGCTGACCCTCCCTCTAGCAGGTTTTCAGAAAAGAATATCCTCAAAGAAATGGATTGACAGAGTGACTGCAGCAATGAGCACAAGTATGTCAGAGGTCATGAGGATGGCACAGAATAGGACAGGATTCAAATCTGTTTCAGACCTGTTGTTTATTAGATCACCAGGAGTTGTACTTGACTCAATGGCACATAACACAGCAACAATATAATAAATCAGATTGCTCATCTTTCTCTCATGGATCCCCGAGTAGATCCTGCCATTAGGTTAGCAATGCAACTTCCTACCTAGTAGGCCACAAGAGCTCCCTAACTTTTACTAATACTAGACATATACTGATTCCCCTTTTTTGAGCATAATTTGAGTCTTTATTTCATTTATCCCAGTACCAAAATCAATATTTCATTCATTCAAAATAAATTTGTGAAGCTAGAAATCTAGACATTTAAAGAATCTTTTTTACTACTCTCAAATATAACACACTCTAATATGCATTCGAGTAACTAGTGGAAAAAGATACACTAATTAAGCATAATGATCTACATCAAATATAGTGTAATGAACTTATATGTTCCAAATATTCTTACTTATTTAAAATTTTCTCTCAATAAATATCAGATGTGCTATTTCTAAATGACCAGAACCTCTAAGTGAGCAAAACAAGATTTTAAGATGTTAATTAGCCTTCATTAATTCCTTCTATTGAATTCTATGTGCTTGGTATCTAAGGCACTTAAGCTGTGATGGGAGATGAGAGTGGATTATGCCTTTTGAGGCTGATATCCTGGAGGAGAAACACATGAGCAAACAAATGAAAAAGATCTCTTTGGCTAAGAACATCCGCGGTTATAATAATTAGAATAGTTTGATGGTAAATACACTGAAGCGGGCAGGGGGAGCGGCACTGATTTATATCAAGTGGTAGAGCTGGCCTCTTTAAAAAGGTAAAGTTTAAGCTGACCCCTAAAGGATATTCAAGATACTTTCCAAGGTCACCAGATTGGCATGCTTGTTCAGTAGGCTGCCAAGTTTTTCTTTCTTTCTCTGTTCTGTTTTGTTTCATTTTGGGAATTTGGGCACTGAAAACCAAGAAGCAAGTAGCATCTGTACCCTTGCGGAATTGCTGGGGTTCTTTGCAAATCTGTATCAGGGGTAGCAGTCAGCAAGAGAGAGAGGCTGCCCCAGGAGAGAAATGAAAAGTCAACATAAACGAAGAGCAGGGGAATGGCCAGCAGTTGGGAGAGATAAGAGTCATTCATCCTGTTGATTCATACTTCCTGATAGTCACACCAGCTGACAAGGCTTGGGGTGTTTTACCTTCTTTTCATAAGTAAAAGATTCCTCCAGTCCCAAGGAAAAGAGATATCTACAACTGTATAACACTCTCCCTTATATTCTCAGTTTATATCTTATTTAATACAGTACCATATAAGAACATTTTTGAGCAGAGTGCTTGTAACATTTCTTTCTGTGGGTAAGTCTAGGAATACAGCTGGTAATGTGTCATCTACATAAATTGGGAAATCTATAAGTTGGGATTCTTCCAACACCCTTCTTGTGAAAAATCATAGGGCTATGCAATTGCTGCTCTTGTGTGCTTTTAAGTTGGGTAAAGCTCCTAACAACCCTATAGGGCAGAGTGGAACCGCCCTTAAAGTTTCAAGACTGTGATCTTTGCAGAAGGAGATTGCCCAGTCTTTCTCCCTTACAGTGACTGATGGATTCAAACCACCAATTCTTAGCTCAAAAGCTAAACTCTTAACAACTGTGCTACCGGGGCTCCTCCATCCAAGGCAGTAGTTCCCAAATACGGGGGTCACCTAGGGATCTTTTAAAAAGTATGATACCTGGCTCCCACGCTTACATATCCTAAGTTAAACTGCATAGAGGATAACCTTAGTCCTCTGAATTTTTAAAAACTCCTCAAGTGATTGGAATGGGCAGCAAAATTTGAGAATTACTAATGCAAAGAAGCATCACTTCTAGTCTTTCACTGGGATGGTTTGTTGATTCCTTCAGAAAGTGTTTTAATTCTACCTGTCATATTGACAGTGTTACTTCACACGGACATGCATACACACAATAGTGAGGCTTACATAACTTCCAAGGGTACAACTTTTTTCTTTTTTTTAAGTGGATCTCTGGTGGCCAAATGGCAAGAAGCTGACCCGCAATTCAGAAGGCACATGGTTCAAGGTCACCAACTGCTCCACAGGAGCAAAATGGTCATGCTATGTGATTAACTGCCTCTAAAAATCTTCTGAGGGATCAGCTATGGGTTGGTTTCAATTCTACATTACACAACAAGTGAAATCGGAGGATCAGCGAAAAAAGAGGAAGAACCTCAACGAGATAGACTGTCACAGTGACTGCAGCAGTGGGCTCAAGTGTGTCAGAGATGATGAGGATGGCACAGGACAGGACAAGTTTCACATCTGTTGTTCAGAGGCTCACTATGAGTTAGACTCAACAGCATCTAACAAGTGATGGGCAGCCTAAATTGAGGGGAGAGTACAAGATTAGAAACTTTTCCTAGAGAATGCAACTTGATACTCCGTGATTGAGTTAGGAGCCTCTTCCATAATGGGCAGGATGGGGCTACTTCAAAAGCCATGAAACATTCTCACTAGGCTGTCAGGAAACCCGAAGGGTGTGGCAGTGAGAGAACCTATAAAAAGTAGAAGTCATTAAGGCAAAAGGAGCAGAGAGGCTAGAACCAGGAACAACAGTGGCCTTCTGGCTCCTGTTTTCAGGGTGGAAAGGCCATTTGTTCAGCCTGCTTCATGAAGGTGGCTCAACTCTGGTTCTGGTTCCAATCAATTGTGGAAAATGTGTGTCCAGTCAGATCTCTGGCAGCACAAGTAGCAAGACTGGCAGACCTTGGATCTCCAGTTTCTGTGAGATTCCATTTCATGAATTTCCCAGAACGATTTCTGTACTGTACACTTGAACGCCAATTCACAGGCCTCAACTGACTTACCCTTGAGTTTTGGCCCCAACCCCAGGTTCTCCCTAGAAAGCTTAGCACTTTTTTTATAACCCCTTAAACCAAATCAGTTGCTGATAGGTTCCTTCTGACTCATAGCAACTCTACCGGACAGCATAGTACTGCCCCATAGGGTTTCCAAGACTGTAAAGTTTTAAAGAAGCAAAATCCCATCTCTTTGGGCAGAGGTGGATTCGAACTGCCACCTTTATAATTGGCAGTTCAGTGCTTATCCACTGTGCTGCCAGGGTTTCATGCTCATAGAAGCAATTGCTGCAACACTTTACTCAAGCAAATGGTATTCTTAAATGACAAGTGGATTTGAAACCTGTTTGACAAGTGTCTGCAAACCCACTCGGGACCTAAGCAGAACCACTCATCTCACTTGGGGAATCCCGCGGGAGGCGCACTCCACAGAGCTGACTCACCTAAATCCGGCACGGCCAGCCCACCTCCATTTCTCCCAGCGGAAAAAGCATCCCCTTACCTACACAAAGCTGAGACGCAGTGCATATCTCGGGGGGAAAAAAATAAAAAAGATTTCCTTACTCGGGTCTCCTTCAGAAATGAGGAAGGCCTGGAGGGGCGGGGGGCGAGGATGGTGCAAGTTTGCCTCAGAACATTTGTGGCGAGCCCCATTTAACCGACTTTGAATTACCATTCTGTTACTTGGCAACCGGTTCACAGGAGCTCAACTCCCCTAACCCGCACGCTTTCTCCGCCCTGCGCATTCAAGGTATACATCTACTCTTCATCATTTAAGGCACTGGTCAAAGGCATATGAGAGGGAAGCCCTAGGCAAAGGACCCTCAAGTGGCTCCAGGCCAGGCCTCCCTACCAGGAGCAAACTCTTCCCTCCTCGGACCGTCAGCCTGGGGCGGCCTCTTAGGAGAAACTTCCTTCTCAATTTCGCGGTTAAATTTTTGCACAATCCTGTTAAGTTTTCAAAATTCTCAGCTGCTGCCGGATTTCCTAAAAGTAGAGATGGGAAAACTGACCCCAAGAGCATCGTAGACACAAGAAAACAATTTGGAGGAGAAAGATCATTGAAGAGTTTGTTGTTTGGGGGGTTTGGTTCGGTTTGGTTTGGTCCCCCCACCGCCGGGGCCACCAGTTACTCTCTGGATGGGACTATTCTGCCCCAATTGCCTGGCTTTAGCGGGCAGATGTCAGACTGAGACAGGATGCATTCAGGTGGCCGCATGCCCTGCGCCCCAGCTGGCGCGCAGGGCGCACAAGCGCTACTCCGAGCGGTGCAGGTGGTGCAGCGCGCCCAACCTGGCCCGAGACTCGCCGCGCCCGTCCGCGCCAGCCCCGTGCCCCCGAGCATCCACATACACTACCCACTGAGACCCTGGGACTGGAAGGAGGAGGAGGGAAATGTCCTTATTAACCCTATTTAACCCACATCCTTACCCAGGTTCACAAAACTCATGACCATGTCTGCGTCGTTGAGGAAGGTGCTGTCCTGTGCGCTGGTCAGAGAGTACGCACCGCCGCTAGGTCCCGGGGCCAGTAGGTTCCTGCCGCTGAAGGAGTGCGCGGCACCAGGGGGTGGTTGCGAGGTCTGCGGCAAGCTGCCAGCTGCCCGCCCATGCTCCTCCGGGAAAGCCCCATCGTCATCGCCGGCGGCGGAGAGGGAGTTGTACAGATCCAGCATGAAGAGGGGCGCAGACTTCAGCTGCCCAGGCGACGGCTCTCCGCGAGCCGGCGGCTGGGGCGCTGATGACTGTGGAAGGCCGTGCATGGGCCGGGGTCGGTGCTGGAGCCCCAGCACCGAGAGGATCTCTTTCTGCATTTCCCGCTTCTCGTGCGTCTTGAGACGCCGATAGAGAAAGCCGGACGAGGAGGACGGCGGCGATGACAGGGGTGACTGCGCCGCGCCCCCTGGGCTCTGGTCACTGCCACCCCCGAGCAGCGCGCCCCCGGTGGCGGCGGCAGCGGGCAGGAGGGGCCGCAGCGGCGGGGACAAGCAGCAGCTGCACAGCAGCGCCCACCACCAGCACAGCCTGCGCTCCCTCCGCCCCAGCATCACCGCCTGGCCAGGCTGCCCCCACGGGTCCCAAACGACACTGATCCACGAGGTGAGGAGCTGAGAAGCGAGGCAGGAGTGTGCGGAGCTCTGGAAGTGGCCAGTCCGCGCCACCCCTCTCGGGGGAGGGGCTTCTTCCAGTGTGAGCCCTCAGTCCTTCTCTCTCATGGTCGCCCGGGGCACCCCCGGTGGCTCAAGTTGCAGAGTGCTGAAAAGAAGTTCGTCCTGCAGAGCGGTTTCAAGCAGGGCGTGGGCAGCGCAGCTCGCTGCAGAGAGCCCTCGGTAGAAGACAAGATCCCGCAAGGTGTGCAAGGGAGCGCTGCTTTGGCAGGTCCTGGTGTGGCAACCCTCTACCTCTCTGCGGGCGCACGTGCGCCCCTCCGGAGGGGTCCAGCGCGGGGTCACTCTCGAACCATTCCCGGCACACGATCCTCCTTTCTGGAGGCGCTGGTGAAGTTCACCCCGCAGTCGGCCTGAGTTTCTGCAAAAGGAGTCCTGAAATGCCAATTTTCTCTAAAGGGTTGAAGAATTTGGTTCTTGCTCCACAACCGCGTTCCCCTCTCTCTTCTGGCAGTGCCAAGTGGGGGCCGCGAGGAATCCGCTCTCTGTTCAGTTCTCACCCCGATGCCCTGTGAACCTCATACACAGAGGGCCAGCGAGCCGGGGTGCGCAGCTGGGAGGTGCGCGAAGTACCCACAGCTTCAGCGCCAGGTTCACCGCCCCCGGCTCAGCGGCCTCTGCCAAAGCGAGTTTTCGGGTGCGCTTCTAGTGCTCAGGTGCCGCTCTCCAGCCTCGGAAACGCCCCGCCTTCCAGGCTAACCGACAAGGCCTTCAGCCAATGGAGAAGCTCGTCTAAGCTCTATTTGAATGGCCCCGCCCCTTATCACCCGCTCAGGCTGAGAGGGGTGTAGCCAGTGTCTCTTCTGAGTTTAGAGTACGTGAGGCACCCCAGGAGCGGTGAGTTCCCACGCACTCAGAGGTCATCCACAGAATGACCTCTCACTTGAGCTCTCTGATCACGACCACCTTTTTCTTCTTCAGTCGCTTAAAAGATCTAAATTGTTTTAACTAAAAAGCACAAACAGACATAAGGTTTGCTATTTCTTGAATTAATTGAGCAATGATGACGTAAACAGGCTTTTCGGGGGACATATGACTTTCAAATGCAGGAGCTGGAAATTGGGACACACGTGCTGAAGCAGCAGCTCACAAACTCACTCTGCAGAGAGGACTCTAAATAGAATACAAACTCAGGGTCCCCGCAGCTTGGGACAGGGTGTTTTGTCTTTCCTTTTCATGTGGGCTATGGCTTGACTGCTTAAGCTAGCACCCAAAAACCATAGGATGCAATAGATAATGTAAAGCATAAAACACAATTAAGCCCTCCCATCCCTTACCTTCTTTGAAATGCCATAATGCATCTTAATGTTGAAATATTATATTGTTTACATGGTAAAAGGGGGAGGTAGTGAAGACAATTCCAGTAAGAACAGGGTTCCCTTTCAGGGTAGTAGGCATTAAGCTTTAGGGGCAAGCATGAGGCGCACAAGCTACTTCCCTAGAGCACATACTTCTGGTGGGAAGGCATTACCCCATTTAATAGCAGTCCATTTGTCTGTAACAGGGATGCCAATTCCCTTGCCTGCCGGCCAGCTAAGGATGTCCAATCAGCTATGTCACCTAGAAATAAGCTCAGTTAAAGCACTACAATCTTCTACTTAGCTAAATGAAAACAACCCAAAAATCCTCAACCAAATTTTTTTTTTTAAAAAAAAAGAATATCACCCTTCCTTTCATTGAGTTAAACCTGCTGCCAGGGGATCATCCAGCAGTTTCCAAGGCTATAAATCACAGAGGAGGAGAATGTCCATCTTTCTCCCTTAAATTCACTGGTGGGTTCAAACAGAGAAAGTGTCCTTTGATTTAACAGTGCAACTCTCTCCCAACTATACCAACAGAGCTCCCCAACCCTGTGAAAAGTGCATATGAATTAGAGCAAATAAGACCTGTCAGGCTTAGTTCACATTGTTCAAGGAATTTGGGAGCAAGAAAGCAAATAGATCAAGATCATAGGATTCAAGGATTTATGAGGTCATGGGGTTTCTGTTGATACAAACCTCATAAGCATTCCTATCTTATCTCAAAGAGTCTTGTTTTGCTATGGATGAGGCTCTTTCCCTCCCCTTACGCCCTGGAACCCTTTCTCTCTGGTCATATCTTGGCCCTGACACAAGATCATTTAGGACCTTTAATTTTACCAACATTCAAAGTCTTTGATCTTGGGCAACACAAACCCAGCAACTCTGAAGGCCAATTTTGCAGGATTCTTTCCGTCTGAAAGTTGCTATTTGATCTGAAATGCCAGGACCATTAGAATTCAAGATCTCCCATTCCTTCTATGTGGAAATTGTTGTGAGCAGAAATTTGCTGCCTAAAACAGCCAGCTGATTTGACTAGAAAATCAGAAATCTGAACACATATATCATGTAGGCATACTTCTTTCATAACCTTCATCAGAATACTTCAGAAGAGAAACAAGCAGATCTAAGGAGCTCCCACCGGTAGGGGCTATAGAAAAGCACTGAGAACTGTGAAAATGTTAAGCATAAATAAGAGCACCTACGCTGTTTAAAATACAAAAGCAGATTGTTGCCCGCTTATTGTATATACCTCACATCTATGAGAGTAGATCTACTGTAGGACGCATACACATACACAATATCCCTGTTTCTATTTAGGATAAATACTTGTATAATATGAATCTAAAAATAGCATTTAGTCATTCATTGTCAAACATGTGGGAAGCAATCCTGGTTCAGATCTATCATGAGTTTCTCACCTCCACTAAGAAGGCATATCAATTTCTGTTGAAGGTTGTTAGCTGCCATTGAGTCAACTCTGAATCAGGTCTACCTCATTTATGTTGGACTAACATTGTCATGCATCTTCGTGGTGATCAGCATCTTCATGCTTCAGGATACTGTTGCAGCCACTCTGTGTTGAGTGCCTCCCAACCTATGGGGCATTTGCCACAACACATTGACAATAGTTCAATGTCATCCATAGTTTTGTCTGTTTGGTTGCTTTTTGGTTATTTTGGTTTTGGTTGGTTGTTTTTTGTTTGTTTGTTTTTTTTCGTTGAGTAATTTCCAGAAGTAGATTGTCAGGCATTTCTTAGGCTATCATAGTCTGAAGGTTCTGCTGAAACCTGTCTACAATGCTTGCACATGAATATCATTGGCAGAGCTTCCAGCATTGTTACAATATCCCTAATGACCATCCATAGAATTCTAAGGTTGTATATGTTCAGGGGAGGACATTGCCTCATCTCTCTCCAGAGGAATGGCTGGTGCATTCAATATGCATTCAAATCACTGAACCTTAGATTAGTAGCCCTACATATGATGGAATACCCCAGTTGGAATCCTCAGATTCCCCAACTCTCTCATTAGAAGTGTCAGAACAGGTAGTGAGACCTGGTGTTATGCCACGTGTGATTCCAATGGACAAATTCTGGAGAGGAGCAGCTCTGTCTTTGGAGCCAGCTGTAGTGTGCAAACCAAAGAGAAAATCAGAGGTAACTTCTCCCCCTGCAGGACACTAAAATATTACCATCCCTCCTTCTGTCCTGAGCAAGCTTCATGAAGTTCTCTGGATGTGTCTTCAAAACATCTGGGTGGAAAGAGGAGGAATTCGCTAAAAAAGCCGGATGTGAGAGGCAGTCTATATCAGACATCTGTTTGCTTGGCTGATATTTTATGCAGATGGCTGTATACTTTCTGCAAACAGGCTGCTTGTCTCATCTCCAACTCCACTAAATGAAGAAGTGAGGAGCCTCACTACAAAACACAGGGTAAGTTAGCCCTTGCATTTAGTGATAGTGGAGCTGGAATGGCAAGTATGTCCTCAAGAGTTTATTAATACAGGGTATGATGGACACAACACAACATTAAAACCCTTCAAAACAGCAATTAGCTTTATTTCTTATATATTCTGAGATTTCTATTATACCTTATATAACACTCATGCGGTAGCCAAATAAGTTTTATGTTTTAAAAATGTTAATTAATTCTATATGTTATAAATGCCACACTCTGTACTTGCTTTTGAATTAGATTGTTAGCAATAAACAACAATCTTCAATTTTAGATGAAAACTGTGTTGACTCGTTTTCAACTGACTTTCTTGAAGATGTAAGCAGCTGCTTTTAGAATAAGTTTGACAGAAAATGTCATCATAAATTTTGGCACTGTTGAATTTGGAAGCTCATCTCTAGTTGGGTGCACAAGAAGCGCCATCAAAACCTAATATTTTACCTTTGCATTTAATGAAAGAATTTGGATCTTTCCTCTTATTTATTTCTAAATATAATTATTTGCCCAATTTTTTAAACAAAACCCAAATTTGGACTGGAGAAAAAAAGGAAATACATTAAATAAATGTTTGTAGAGTGTGAGAAATGAAAATTTGAGAGTTAAATAAATTTTGACTCTGAAAGAGACACCTGTAAGGCAGTCTTCACAACATGTGTCTCATCCAAAAGTCTGTGGTAACATCTACGTTCACTCACACTTTCCTTTCGTTGTCAACTGTTCAAAAATGCTGGGTATTCACACTTCAAAATATCGTTCAAGTCATCATATTTTCCTACTCGTGAAGGACATCTGGTGGCAAAGTGAAAAACTAGTACATAAATCAGTTTCCAGAATTTTGTTTCCACACTGTAACTAACTTGATGAGCCAAAACATTGCTTGGGCATGTTTCAAACTGTTCACATAAGCTCATATTTTTATAGTTCTAACACTTGGGCTGTCCATATAATAGTAAACAACTGAGTGCTTTGAATTTTCATTGGGTAATTGACATCTGCAGGCTAAGCTTTTCTCTTTAGGGAGCAAAACAATGCTGTAAGCATGTCTATGACTAGTTCTATTATCATTAAAGAGTTGGCTCCAGAAATCACAGGTCATTTATTTGAACTGGAGAGTGT